AGGTCAAAAAAGGTAAACAGGCTCAGAGGCTGAACTTCTACTCGTTGCCGTGTTAACAAGAAAATAAAAAATAAAAAATCTACCCTGTAGAATCGATATGCACTCTTATTGCGATTTTTAATTCAGTTCAACAGCAACAACGTTTGTGTATTATATCATAGAAAATTGATTTATTTAAATCTATTTTATAAGGGTGCGGGTGGGTGTGGGTGTGGGTATGAGGCGTCTGTCAAAAAAAGTGCCACAACCATACCCACATCGATCCACACCCACACCTACGCCCACCCACACCCATACCCACACCCTTACTGTATTTTGTCTTTGTGATGTATGGATAGAGTGTAATGATATTGTTAATATGATTTATTCAAAGTAATAGAGAAAGATCATTAATAAAAGGGAAAATCAATAACAACAAGAGTAATGGTGAAAGTTGGAAAAAGGTGATGGAACATCACTGGAGAGAGAGAGAAATAGAGTTGGCGTCATACAACTAGGGGCGTAACCAGAAAAAAATGTTAGGGGGGGCTCAGCCATTGAACGAAACGATCGTAGGGGGGGGGGGGGGGGCTAAATATTGTTTTTCACAGGATTTTTTTTTTCGTAGGGGGGGGGGGCAAAGACTTCGGTAGGGGGGCTCAGCCCCCCTCGACCCCCTCTGGTTACGCCCCTACATACAACACCATCTGTTGACGCTAACAATATATTTGATGGTTTCCAGTTTTAAAATAAAATCTAGCTATTCAATACTTGGGATAGAATGCATTGAAAGAAAAGAAGAAACAAGCATCTTCACAACTAAATGACAATATTGTGAATGCTTACATCTATAATTGTGAGAAAACAGACTAAAGATATTATATCAAATGATTAGATCTTGTCTGATGAAGTGTTAAGTTCTAATCATCCATTTCTTGTTGTACTAATCATACAATAGAAAAGATACAGTATATCTACATCTAAGAACACGAAAAAGTGTAAATCATTTAGTTTCAGGTTCACAAATGAGTAAACTATTTGAGCATGATTGTTAGGACTTGCTTGACTAAAAACCGTGAGTTCTCGAATAATCAGATCTAAAATTTGTTCACTATGATGAAAAATAATAGTAACACTCAATAATTATACTGATTTTATTCATTATCATTTTCCAGTTTCTTACTAAATTGCAATCATTTCAGAACATATGATTGAAATCTCGATTGCCATCTGCTGAATGTAAGTTTGAAGATTTTGTTTAGCTGAGAAAGCAACGTTTACTAAGTGTGTAAATCTTTTCATGAATATCATGATGCATCAAATAGAAATGTTGCTGTCAAAAATGTAGTTTTTAATAGTTACAGCTTCAGTAGATCCATAATCAGAAGTTCGCACGAATTTGGTTTAAAAAGTATTGATGACGCTGCTAAAATACACAGCAAAGTATGAATTCACAACCGAATACAAAGTGTTTCGATTGTTACTTGAACAATAATTAAGGATCTATCTAGTTTCTTAGATTTTCTATTAGTATAGTGGAGAGAGGGCTTGTGACGGTTTTGTAAATTTTTCATTCATGCCTGTGATTTTTGATCAGAAAAAACTGGTCGAAGTCATCATCAAACTATTCTGATTGTTCGCCTACAAAATGTTCCTATTCGATACAAATCATCATCTATGCGAAAGGAAAATAATATCCATTAGAATATGTGTAATCTCGACAAATTTTCCCCTCTTTCCTTGTGTAATGCAATCACTTTATGAATACGAATGTCATTGAAAGGCAAATATACCCCACCTTCGGAAATGAGTTTATTGAATTGTTAGGTTAGTAATTTATTCAGCATAAAATGAAATGAAGAATAAAAAAGTTCCAATCATTTGTAAAAAAAAAGATTAATTAGAAATATTTCAATGTCACATGTATTTTTTAGCCAATGATAACTTTTTCTGTTGTACATCGACCAAAGTTTTCAGGTGAATACATTTCTTCAGCTTTAGCTGGTGGAATGATAAACGTTCCAGCACATGTTGCACGCATAACATAACTCCATTCGTATACACCAGGCCACAATAATCTTCGAAATGCTTCAGCACGTTCATCTCTTAAATTTTCATATTCAGTCCAACCAATCGTTGAATATAATCGATATTCATTATAGCGGCTGTTTCTTTTTGATCTTGCTACTGATGAATTCGTATAATCTGTCAAAGTACCGTTAAATTTCGTATTCAATGGCTCACAACCAGCTGGTAAATAATCAACTAATGCTACATGATATCGTTGTTGTGTTGTTGACATTGTTAATGTGACTTTAATTTTTTCATTTAGTTTGAAATTCCAAGTTCCATTGGATTGCTGCTGAACATATGATGAATGATCCATAGCTGTGTATGTTCGTTCAATTTTAAAACCATAGTTAACTGCATTTATTTGTAGACTTAATGGAGCATAATCCATTGCAATACGATAGTATAATCGACCATTGCCACGTTTATGCATCACTACGTCCTTATCGTTACTACCCATGTTAAATGATGATGACGGCGCTAGAATTTCTCTCATCGGAATACTCACTGTGTATGTATTTGTCGTTCGACCTATACATATTAAGATAAGAAATCAGAACACATAATATATATACCTCGAAATCATTCGCTTAGATGTAGACATTTTAAAAAAGCGATATAGGCAGAACTACATGGAAATTGATTTTCTTTTTCTTTTGATTTTATCT